GTGATGCAGTCGAGCCGCTACGGCAAGCAGCTGCGCGTCGTGCACGTGGACCTGCCGCTGGGCGTCCACCTGGAGATCAATCGCTGGAACGAGCCAGGCGAGGGCGACTACATCAACACGATGACACCATGAGCAAGCAGCCAAACCAGGATGGGCACTGTGGAAACTTCAATGGTGTGACCGAGGACGACACCCGGCCGCAGATCCGTGCCCGCATCGGCACCACGGGTGTCCCGCAAGAGGAATTGCTTTTCCACACCAAGACCCCCGTGACGCCCGCGAACCGGCCGGACCTGAACAACTGCCCCACCGACAAGACCGAGAACGCCAGGCAGATTTGCACGGGGAAGTCCAAGACCGGCATGCCCAACCATGACTGCACGGTGGACGTGTGTTTCGGCGGAGCGCACTTCGCGGATATGACCGAATACGACTAGTGAGGGGCGTCGGGCATCTTGACGAAGAGCAGACGACATAACCATGAATTTTCGCAGCTCCGCGCGGATTTCTTGAATCTGCGTAGGGCCCCTCTGGCGGCGCCTCCTGCGCCGCCCCTGGCGCGCTCCGCGCGGCAAGGGAGGGGGGTCCAGCGCCGATCCAAGAAATTCGCGCGGGGCTCCGAACATTTATGGTTATCCAGCTGCCCTGCGGCCAAGTCCCGCTACCGTGCCAGCCCAGCATTCTGGGTGGCTGCTGTTTGGGGGTGTGAGAGCCGTGATGATGCTGATGATGATGGTGCTGATGCTGGTGATGATGGTGATGATGATGATGATGATGATGATGATGATGATGATGATGATGATGATGACGATTGGTGCTTGATAGCGAAGATGATGCTGATGATGCTGATGATGATAATGCTGCTGATGATGGTGATGATGATGAAGAGGAAGAATATGCTGATGACGATGATGATGCTGCTGATGATGATGGCAATGATGGCGACGACGACGTTGTTGATGATGCCATGAGGATGATGATGATGCTGCTGATGATGATGATGATGATGTTGACGACGACGTTTTTGTTGATGATGGATGATGATGATGGTGACGATGATGATGACGATAATGATGACGATGCTGATGACGATGATGATGATGATGATGGACGACGACGACGTGGTTGATGATGGTGTTGATGCTGATCCTGATGACGCTGGTGATTATGCTGACGATGATGAGGGGGACGGTGAGTAGGATAATTATGATGACGACGGCGACAGCGTTTTTTGATGATGGACGATGATGAAGAATAGAAGCATGATAATTTCCATGCTGGTGCTGCTGCTGTTAATGATGATGATGATGCTGATGATGATGATGCTGATGCTGATGATGATGATGATGATGATGATGATGATGATGACAAGGACGATGTTGATGATGATGATGCTGCTGATGATGATGACGATGACGACGACGACGACAACGACGTTTTTGTTGATGATGGACGATGCTGATTATGGCGACGATGATGATGACGACGACGATGATGATGATGATGATGGTGACGACGGCAACGTTGTTGTTAATGCTGATGCTGATGATGCTGATGATAATGCTGACGATGATGAGGAGGACGAGGAGTAGGATAATTATGGTGACGACGGCGTCAGCGTTTCTGTTGATGATGGATGATGATGAAGAATAGCAGTATGATGATTTTCATGCTGGTGCTGCTGATGATGATGATGATGATGATGATGATGATGATGATGATGATGATGACGAGGCCGACGTTGTTGATGATGATGATGCTGATGATGATGCTGATGATTATGATAATGATGCTGCTGATTATGCTGATGCTGATGATGATGATGATGATGCTGATGATGATGATGAGGATGAGAAGGAGAAGGGGGAGGAGGAAGAGGAGGATGATGATGAGGAGGAGGATGAGGAGGAGCAGGAGGAGGACGCTAATGGGGATGATGAGGATGTCGAGGATGAGAATGAGGTTGAGGATGAGAATGAGGGTGGTGGTGATGATGATTATGATGATGAGGCGGAGAAGGAGCAGGATCAGGAGGAGGAAGAGGAGCAGGAGCAGGAGCAGTTGGAGGAGGTGGAGGAGGAGGAGGAGGAGGAGGAGCAGGAGCATGAGCAGGAGCAGGAGGAGGAGGAGGAGGTGGAGGAAGAGGAAGGTCGTCATAGGTGACACTTTTCGTATTCACTATGTGAGGAGCTCTCATGGAACTCGTTTGGGCCGTCTTGGGTTGTTTGGGCCTCCTGTGAGGCAGTCGTGGGGGTCCCTTGAGCCCTCTTGGGCCGTCTGGGGCCCTCTTACGCCGTCTTGGGGCTCTCTTGGGATGCCTCTTGGAAATCAATGATTTTGGCTTCTTCGGACCGTGGCCCGTTTGGGCTCTCTTGGAGGCATCTCGGGTCGTCTTGAGGCCCATTTGGCCGCCTCGGGGCCATCTCGGGCCGTCTTCGAGGCACCTTGGGCCATTTTTGGTGTCCTCGGTTGCCTGCATGGGCCGTCCTGGAAGCTCGGGACGCGGATCGGGAGGGGTCCTTTGTTAGATACAGAAGCCCTACCGGACAGCCCTTGGCATCTATGCACGCCTAAACGTGCACAAGGCACGTTGGCGGATTCCGTTCTCTCTTCCACTAGCATCGCAGTGGTGAGTCGGGTTGCTCTGCTGCATCTCACGGAGCTTCCATGCCAAGTATTTGTGAGCAGGGTCGTCCGACTCCGGGACCGGAGCAGGATCCACCATTCTGCCGCAACTGCTTTGAGCAGCGTCACGGACAAAGAGTGCCTGACTCTGCCGAAGCAGTTTTATTTTTTGGGACGCATGCGCTTGATAGCCGTTGGCGCTAGAGTCCTTCGTGTAGAGATCGGGCCCGATCAAGTCGGGTCAGCCGAAAAAGCAGTTCATGCGTGCTGGCGGTTCCTCTTTCTCTCAGGGCCCCTTTCTGCCGGCGTATCGCGGGAACGAGGGCAGCGGCCCAGACGGCACAAAAATATGAGCCCGCGCCGGAGTAGAATTCGGCCACGAGGGCACGGGTCGGACGCGAGGGCGCGGGCCAAGAGAGAGGCACGGGCCACGAGCGACCGAGATCGCCTCGGCAGTGGGGAAGCACGGCCTGGACTGGGTGCTACGGGCCCTTCCCCAGACCTCGATTTTTGGTGCTGGTTTTTGGGCGGCCCTCCTTTGGCTCGTCGGCCAGGGGTCCGAAAACGGCCAGTGCCGAAGGCAAAGCGTGCTGAAAAAGCAGCAGAGCCGATCCGAATTCATTTCGACTGCCAGGTGTCTCCGCGAGGTCTGACTAATCAGGCAGGGCCTATCCCTTCCCGGCGGTATCCATGAAGACGGCGTAGGGGATTGGAATGGGGCGCGACGCAGCAGCTGCTGACCGATTTTGGGGCCATCTTGGGGTCTCTTGGGGCCATCTTGGCCGTCTTGGAGACCATCTTGGGCGTCCTTAGGCCTCTCGGGCGGTCTTTGGGCTCCCTTGGGGCCGTCTTGGGGGCCTCTTGGTCCGGGCCTCTTGGGCCGTCTTGGGCCATCTTGAGGCCATCGTACTTCGTCTTGAGTGCATCTTGAGCCGTCTTGGAGATATCTTGCGACCATTTTGGGCTGTCTCGGGGCCTTCGTGGCCATCTTGGAGGCGTCTTGGGACCATCTTGGAGGCCATCTTGGCTGTCTTGGAGGCGATTTGAGCAATGGGCTCTGGATTTTCCCCAGCTTTCCGGGTGGCCGGCGCTTTGGGCCGAAGCCCCAGTGGGAGGTTTTTAGAAAAGAGCCACATTTTGCCAGACGTTTGGCACGCCAGGCACCCCTGTGGCAAGCCACAGGGGGCGGCGGATGACGGAAAGCGCGCGTCGCTTCACGATCCGTTAGTCGGGAGAAATAGGACGGGGAATGTGAGGCGGTTGGCCACTGGGGACCCAGATGACGGAAAGCGTGCGCAGCGTCGCGATCTGTTATTTGTGAGAAATAACAAAGGGGAGTGTGAGGGGGTCGGCAGGACCAGTCCCAGATGACGGAAAGCGCGCGTAGCGTCGCGATCCGTCAGTTGGGAGATTTAGCAAGGGGGAGTGTGATAGGGGTTAGCAGGACCCATCCCAGATGACGGAAAGCGCGTGTAGCGTCGCGATCCGTTCGTAGAGAGAAATATCAAGAGGGAGTGTGAGGGAGTTAGCAGAACCCGTCCCAGATGACGGTAAGCTCGCGTAGCGTCGCGATCCGTTAGGTGGGAGATTTAGCAAGGGGGAGTGTGAGGGGGCTGGCAGGACCCGCCCCGAATGTAGTGGCCACAATTTTCGGCCATGTTCGGCCCCAGACGGCTTGGCCCCAAGAGCGCCCAAGACGGCTCAAGACGGCCCCAAGAGCGCCCAAGCCACCGCCACGACGGCCTCAGGGAGACCCAAGAGGGCCCCAAGACGGCCCGAGAGCGCTCGAAGAGGGTTCAGGATGGCCTCAAGACGGCCAAAGAGGCCCTCAAGACACTCCACGAGGCCTCCAAAAGGACGCCCCAGAGGCATTTCTTTGTCCACAACGGCCCAAGAGACCTCCGGAATCGCCCCAAGACGGCAAAGAGGCCGCCAAGACGGCCCAAGAGGGCTCCAAGACGGCCCCGGAGAGCTCCACGACGGCCCAAGAAAGGCCCCTGAGGGCGCCAGAAGGTTCCCAAGAGAGCCCCACGAGGCCTCAAGATGTCCCCCAGAGGGCCCCAGAGGGCTCCGCGCCAGACGGCTCAAGCCCTCCAAGACGGCCCAAGAGGGCCCCGGGATGACCCAAGAGGGTCCGAAGACGGCCCAAAGGAGCCCCAAAAGGACCCCCAAGAAGGTCCCGAGAGGCCATATTCATGGATGTTCGCAAGGTTTGCTGTTAGTTTTATATTGCGTACCAAAGTCTTGACACCACCAAGGGGGCTCCAAGACACTGGGCAAGCGATCTCGCGCCCTCACAAAGTACACTCGCTGTCTGTCGTCGTGCTAAGCAGGCGACGGAAAGAGCGAGGCATGCGTGATGACGTTGAGTTGGGGTGAAGCCTTCTACGGAGGGGTCCAGGGGGAGGGTCTGATGGGTACTTCATGGCATGGAAGCCGAGTCGTGCTTGAGATGGTGCCACCTTTTTCGGCACATCTTTTGAGTCCCTCAGCGCCGAGGGCGAGGGCGAGCCTGCGATCCATACAAGAGTTCGTGGACTCTTCGTGCGGTAGCCATTCTGGCCCAAGGTCAAGGCCTCACCCGCGCAAGCGCCCCTGGTTGGACACGTACCTCCCAGCGTGCCTGCTGTTCAGTCGCCAGGCCTGGTGCAGACGATGAGCCTCTACGGTGCTCGTGGCGGCTCTTTCATGGCAGCGGGCCCCAACGGCGGCTTCGTTGCGGGATCACGCGGGGCCTTTGTCGGTGGCGGCGTGGGCGGTGGCGCGATGGGCAGCGGGGTCTACCCCGGGATGGGCTATGCCGGTGGGGGCGTGTATCCTGGGACGGGGTATGCTGGCGGTGGGGAAGGCTGCTGCGGAGGTGTGGGCTGTGGCAACAGCTGCGGCGCGGACGGGTGCGGGGTGGGCGTGGCGCCCGCGTGCGGCGACGCGTGCTGCGGGGTCGCGGGCGCCAGCTGCGGGGGCATAGCCGGAACGACGATGTCGTATGTGGGCGCAGGCGGCGACTACATCGCCACCACCACCTACCAGTACGTGGGCCAGGGCGCGGGCACCTTCACCGTGGTGCCGATCCCCGCGGCTGGGTGCAGCGTCTGGTGGCTGTGCTGCCTCTGGTGGCTGGCGCTGCTCCCCTTCCTCTTCCTCGCGGGGACCACCACGACCACCACAACAACGCCCCCCATCATCATCAGCACCCCGCCTCCAGAGACCCCGCCGCCCATCGTGAACCCCACGCCGGCGCCCCCCGGGCCAGGGCCCGCGAAGCATTGCAAGATCTTCGGCGACCCGCACGTGATCACGTTTGATGGGCAGTCAGCGAGCTTCTACTCCCAGGGCGAGTACTGGACCGTGAAGAGCACCACCGTCTGGATCCAGGGCCGCTACATGCCGACTCCAGTGACCAACGGCCTCTCCGTCATGAAGGAGGTCGCGATCGGCGGCCCCTTCCTGGAGAGCAAGGACGGCACGAAGAACATCCTCCGCATCTCCTCTCTCAGTGCGACCTTCAACGACGTCCCCATCATCCTGGCTTCCCGGACGCCTGGGAGAACCAGGATCCGATGATCAAGGTAGTCTCCGACGGCAACGGGCAGGTGATGCAGTCGAGCCGCTACGGCAAGCAGCTGCGCGTCGTGCACGTGGACCTGCCGCTGGGCGTCCACCTGGAGATCAATCGCTGGAACGAGCCAGGCGAGGGCGACTACATCAACACGATGATCACCATGAGCAAGCAGCCAAACCAGGATGGGCACTGTGGAAACTTCAATGGTGTGACCGAGGACGACACCCGGCCGCAGATCCGTGCCCGCATCGGCACCACGGGTGTCCCGCAAGAGGAATTGCTTTTCCACACCAAGACCCCCGTGACGCCCGCGAACCGGCCGGACCTGAACAACTGCCCCACCGACAAGACCGAGAACGCCAGGCAGATTTGCACGGGGAAGTCCAAGACCGGCATGCCCAACCATGACTGCATGGTGGACGTGTGTTTCGGCGGAGCGCACTTCGCGGATATGACCGACTACGACTAGTGAGGGGCGTGAGGCATCTTGACGAAGAGCAGACGACATAACCATGAATTTTCGCAGCTCCGCGCGGATTTCTTGAATCTGCGTAGGGCCCCTCTGGCGGCGCCTCCTGCGCCGCCCCTGGCGCGCTCCGCGCGGCAGGGAGGGGGGTCCAGCTCCGATCCAAGAAATTCGCGCGGGGCTCCGAACATTTATGGTTATCCAGCTGCCTGCGGCAAGTCCCGCTACCGTGCCAGCCCAGCATTCTGGGTGGCTGCTGTTTGGGGGTGTGAGAGCCGTGATGATGCTGATGATGATGGTGCTGATGCTGGTGATGATGGTGATGATGATGATGATGATGATGATGATGATGAAGATGACGATTGGTGCTTGATAGCGAAGATGATGATGATGATGCTGATGATGATAATGCTGCTGATGATGGTGATGATGATGAAGAGGAATAATATGCTGATGACGATGATGATGCTGCTGATGATGATGGCAATGATGGCGACGACGACGTTGTTGATGATGCCATGAGGATGATGATGATGCTGCTGATGATGATGATGATGTTGACGACGACGTTTTTGTTGATGATGGATGATGATGATGGTGACGATGATGATGACGATAATGATGACGATTCTGATGACGATGATGATGATGATGATGATGATGGACGACGACGACGTGGTTGATGATGGTGTTGATGCTGATCCTGATGGCGCTGGTGATTATGCTGACGATGATGAGGAGGACGGTGAGTAGGATAATTATGATGACGACGGCGACAGCGTTTTTTTGATGATGGACGATGATGAAGAAGAGCAGCATGATAATTTCCATGCTGGTGCTGCTGCTGTTAATGATGATGATGATGCTGATGATGATGATGCTGATGATGATGATGATGATGATGATGATGATGATGATGATGGCAAGGACGATGTTGATGATGATGATGCTGATGATGATGACGATGACGACGACGACGACGACAACGACGTTTTTGTTGATGATGGACGATGCTGATTATGGCGACGATGATGATGACGACGACGATGATGATGATGATGATGGTGACGACGGCAACGTTGTTGTTAATGCTGATGCTGATGATGCTGATGATGATGCTGACGATGATGAGGAGGACGAGGAGTAGGATAATTATGGTGACTTCGGCGTCAGCGTTTCTGTTGATGATGGATGATGATGATGAAGAATAGCAGTATGATGATTTTCATGCTGGTGCTGCTGCTGATGATGATGATGCTGATGATGATGATGCTGATGATGATGATGATGATGATGATGATGATGATGACGATGATGATGATGATGATGAGGCCGACGTTGTTGATGATGATGATGCTGATGATGATGCTGATGATTATGATAATGATGCTGCTGATTATGCTGATGCTGATGATGATGATGCTGATGATGATGATGAGGATGAGAAGGAGAAGGGGGAGGAGGAAGAGGAGGATGATGATGAGGAGGAGGATGAGGAGGAGCAGGAGGAGGACGCTAATGGGGATGATGAGGATGTCGAGGATGAGAATGAGGTTGAGGATGAGAATGAGGGTGGTGGTGATGATGATTATGATGATGAGGCGGAGAAGGAGCAGGATCAGGAGGAGGAAGAGGAGCAGGAGCAGGAGCAGTTGGAGGAGGAGGAGGAAGAGGAAGGTCGTCACATGTGACACTTTTCGTATTCACTATGTGAGGAGCTCTCATGGAACTCGTTTGGGCCGTCTTGGGTTGTTTGGGCCTCCTGTGAGGCAGTCGTGGGGGTCCCTTGAGCCCTCTTGGGCCGTCTGGGGCCCTCTTACGCCGTCTTGGGGCTCTCTTGGGATGCCTCTTGGAAATCAATGATTTTGGCTTCTTCGGACCGTGGCCCGTTTGGGCTCTCTTGGAGGCATCTTGGGTCGTCTTGAGGCCTATTTGGCCGCCTCGGGGCCATCTCGGGCCGTCTTCGAGGCATCTTGGGCCATTTTGGTGTCCTCGGTTGCCTGCATGGGCCGTCTTGCAAGCTCGGGACGCGGATCGGGAGGGGTCCTTTGTTAGATGCAGAAGCCCTACCGGACAGCCCTTGGCATCTATGCACGCCTAAACGTGCACAAGGCACGTTGGCGGATTCCGTTCTCTCTTCCTCTAGCATCGCAGTGGTGAGTCGGGTTGCTCTGCTGCATCCCACGGAGCTTCCATGCCAAGTATTTGTGAGCAGGGTCGTCCGACTCCGGGACTGGGGCAGGATCCACCATTCTGCCGCACCTGCTTTGAGCAGCGTCACGGACAAAGAGTGCCTGACCCTGCCGAAGCAGTTTTATTATTTGGGACGCATGCGCTTGATAGCCGTTGGCGCTAGAGTCCTTCGTGCAGAGATCGGGGCCGATCAAGTCGGGTCAGCCGAAAAAGCAGTTCATGCGTGCTGGCGGTTCCTCTTTCTCTCAGGGCCCCTTTCTGCCGGCGTATCGCGGGAACGAGGGCAGCGGCCCAGAAGGCGCAAAAGTATGAGCCCGCGCCGGAGTAGAATTCGGCCACGAGGGCACGGGGCGGACGCGAGGGCGCGGGCCAAGAGAGAGGCACGGGCCGTGAGCGACCAAGATCGCCTCGGCAATGGGGAAGCACTGCCTGGACTGGGTGGTACGGGCCCTTCCCCAGACCTCGAGTTTTTGTGCTAATTTTTGGGCGGCCCTCTTTTGGCTCGTCGGCCAGGGGTCCGAAAACGGCCAGTGCCGAAGGCAAAGCGTGCTGAAAAAGCAGCAGAGCCGATCCGAATTCATTTCGACTGTCAGGTGTCTCCGCGAGGTCTGACTAATCAGGCAGGGCCCATCCCTTCCCGGCGGTATGCATGAAGACGGCGTAGGGGATTGGATTGGGGCGCGACGCAGCAGCTGCTGACCGCTCGACAGTAGCCAGCGGCTCACGGGGGATGTCTTTCCACACGCTAAGTTTGGCCCGATGTCGTCGGGGATAGACGCGGCATGTTTTTCCTCAGACAGTGTTTGCACTTAGATGTTCTGACTCGTGTCCCTTACGTAGCTGGACGGGTCCCCCGAGGATTTTCCACGTTGCCGCCCTGTGCCGCCTCGTCGGCCATCGTGGGCGCCTCGTGCGCTGGGTGGGTCCGCCGAGGGTTTGCGCTACGTTGCCGCCCTCTGCCGCCTCGTGGGTGCTCGTGGGCCCCGTGCGCTGGGTGGGTCCGCCTAAGTTGCGCGGCGTTGCCGCCCTTGCCGCCTCGTGGGCGCTGGTGCGTGCTCCGTGCGTTGAGCTTACACCACATTGCTTCTTTCACGACGTAGCTTACACGACATAGCTTACACCGCATAGCTTGCGCCGCACAGGTTTCACATCCAGCACAACAGCTGCACTACTCGACATAGTTTATACCATTTACATTGCATCGCATAACTTTTACCTCATCAGCTCACACCAGATAGCTTACACGACATAGCTTGCACTACAGAGCTCGCACCGCATAGTTTCCATCTCCAGTGCAATAGCTCACTGTTTGGGTTCCACGCTGGCCAACATAGTTCGGTCTGTTAGTTTTCAGAAGGTTTCGCCTTTCTGGGGCCGCCAAGGGTATGACGAGCACCTTTGAGGCCTCCGACAAGCAGGGCTGGGGTTGGGGGGAAACCTCATCATGTCTTCTTCTGTAATTGATCATCTTCTACCACAGCTCTTTCTTGAGTCAGCTCCCAAAGAGCGCCCGCTGCTTCTGGGCCAAAGTAGTGTTCGCACTTTCTCCTGGAGCTGCTTCATCAATTCTCTTCTCCACCTGCTGCTTCGTCCTCGCTGTTCTTTTCCTGTTTTCAATGTCCATCCCAGCCATGCTCGTGTTCTTGCTCTTGCGCCCAGCCATCTTCCTGTTCCTCCTCTTGCCTACCTGCTCATTGTTTCCCCTGTTTCTTTTCCTTTTCCCGGCACGATGTTTTGACAGGCGTTCGAGGGGAACGATGTAAAATGGTGCGCGCGCCAAGCGGGGAAAATGTATGTGTGATATTTACATACGGGACACGGGTGCAACATACATGGGTGTGGTCACGCTGACTTGCCAGTCCCCACGAATGACATTTAACACCTTCGCACCTCTGGGTTCGAGGGGCCATGACCTGAGGTGGGCCAGGCCGTACAGCCTGTCGCGCGGTAGGTGGTCCAGCCACTTTCGCCTGAGACAACCTCGCGACATCCTGGCAACTCCGGGCTCGGAGATGCACTGACCTGATGCGGCCTGGCTAGCTTCGTCTGATGACCCTGCGAGGCGCCCTGCGTCTCGTTATCGAAGACGCCTACGGCGAATCACCGCCGCCCCCTGCCTTTTCGGAAGCGCCTATGTGGCCGAACGTTGAGTCCATAGCTTGGCTAAGCCGTCGGGCTACATGGTCCCCCAGCCGTTGTGGAACGCCTTCGCGGAATGGAAGAGACAGAAGAAGATGAGGAGAGCGAGGAACAAGGAGGAGGAGGAGGAGGAGGAGGAGGAGGAGGAGGAGGAGGAAGAGGAGGAGGAGGAGGAGGAGGAGGAGGAGGAGGAGGAGGAGGAGGAGGAGGAGGAGGATGGAGCCTCTTTGGGCACTCTTGCGACCTCCTTTGGGTTTCCCGAGGGCCTCGCGGAGGCCTCTTGGGGGCTTCCTTGGGCCTCTTGGAGGCCTTGTAGAGGCTCCTCAGGAGGCTCTTTGGCCGTCTGAGGGCGTTCTGGTCCGTCTGACGCCTTCGGACGCCGTCTTTGGGGCCTCTCTGGGTCGACTTGGGGCCCTCTTGGGTGGCGGGGGAGGCAGAGGGGGCGGGCGGGCCTTCACAGAGGGCTCGGAAGGCCTCGGGCCTTTCGAGAAGCTTCCTGAGCCTTCTCCGAAGCCACAAGGGGTCTCTCCAGCCTGGGCGGAGGGCCTCCGAGAGGCCACGCCGCCCTCTGACAGTGCTTGCGCCCCCCCCCGGACGCCGGTGGTTTTCGGGCCACAGCTCGGCTGTCGGGTGGCAGTTCGGCATGAGCTGGGCACCCCCAGAACGCTCTCGGCGAGCGCAGCTGCTGGAAGGCGCCCCAAGGCTCGAAGACCGCCGACACTCGGCGCGCCGCCAAGCCATATCTAGTTATATATATATATATATATATATAGAAGCACACATCCACACATATACATATATATATATATACATATATCATATATTTTAATGTAGATGTAGAGAGTGAGAGAGAGAGAGAGAGAGAGAGAGAGAGAAAGAGAGAGAGAGGGAGAAACAGAGCGTGCAGCCCGTTGCGGTGCAGGGCGCAGGGTGC